TGATGTCACATGAGGATATGATACTCTAAAGAATATCTCTTTTCTAAAGATAAACATAAAAAAGTGGAAGTAGCCACACAGTTGCAAAATGGGCAAGACTGTATTTTTGAAGCCACATTCTGTCCCACACCTGACAGAAATGCAAGCTCTTTTTCCACCACAACTAAAATTTTATCACGTATTTCTTGAAGAAAAAAGCATAGTGGAAGTTCTGGTTCCAATGCATGACTTACAACTCTCTCATTTGCAAGTTTATGCAGTGCATGCACAGCACAGTACCACCAGTGAAACACAGATTTGCGTTTTGAAAACAAATTAAATACTTCCAGGTTCTGATCCTAACATGACTTTAACTATTGTGAAGTCTTCCAGTACTAAATAAACCCTAAACTTCCAACCCTAACTAAAATGTGTTCATGTTCATATCACACATGCTAGGTCCTCACAAACAGGGGAAACCCATTAGTAAGTGACTATACAAAGAAAATTGACTAATTTGTAGCACAGAGAAGGAAATCCTGTCTTCACAGAAACCAGTGGCAAATGCCAATTGATGTTAGCAGGTCAAGAATTGTACCCAGTATTTTTTCCATTGTGAAGAACACATCCAAAAGAGACAAGTATTTTCTAACCTCCTTCAGAGATAAACTATCCATTTTTCTTGTACCACTAGTGATAAAAAAAAATCATAAAAATTCATATTAAAATCACCGGTGAGACAAGAGTTCTCTCTGCCTCATTTTTACAACTCACAAGATGATGATCGGAAGGGTAAGGGGGACTTTTTTGTGAGTCTTAATTTACTGTTTGCTAGGTATCCTGAGAACAACACAAGAAAGGTGCTTTATTAGTGCAAAGTTGTTTGTTTGTTTTTTCTCCTTTTTTTCCCCTAAACCTGCAGACAAAACACAGAACATGGACATGAGTAGCACTTTTAACAGTGTAAACATTCATATAGTTTGCAGAGAAGCCTTGCAAAAAAAAAAAAAAAAAAAAGGAAAAAAAAGGCCAATTTGTCTCTTAGATACAGCCACAAAATCATATGGATCAGAAGGATTCATGCACATACCTATTTTAAATTATTCCCAAAGGATGCATTCTGTCTCTCTCATGCTCTGTACACCTCCTCTGAAGTCAGTAATACAGATCCTGGCTCTGCACTTCCAAAATACAGCCATGAATACACCTCCTTTGATTACTGTCAGTTCAGGCATGCAATGATCTTATGTGCAGTTAATGTCTTTGATGGTAGCACACAATGAAGAAAATATTTCTGCAAGTGATCCTAAGGCAGGATGCTATCCCATGATAGGTAGCTGCTGCTTTTTCTACCCTTGAGGTTTTCCTTTTCTTTATTAGATTAGGTTGCATACTGCAGAAAGATCCTCACTTCACGTCCTTCACCAGAGAAGCTGGAGGCAAAAGTCCCAATGATTAAAAGACCTGAAGGTGAATTAGTAATCCCATTCCAGTGCTTCAGGAACACATTTAGAAATGGAGGCTATAGGGTCTTTAAGGCAAAAAGAGAAAGGAACACAAAACACACTGAATTCATATTACGTGTACTCCAGAAGGTCCTTTCTGTTCTTTATTTTCTCTTGTAAGTTGACTTTACACTCTATAACCCACAGGGTAAGTTAATTATCCCAAAGGATCCAAACCTACTGTAAGTCCAAATGCATTATCAGGTGAACTGATGTTGGAAAGTCTCTGGGACCCCAATATCCACCACCATTCCCCAAAAGAAAGGTAATAGGATGCTGTTACTTGGGTCCTTTTTTAAGGCGAAGGAAATGCCTAACTGGTTCACTTAGCTTCTTGGCAATCTTTTCCTGCTTTTTTCAAGGCAACATCACTAGACGTTCAAGAGTATTCACCAGTTATGAGTCAGAAAACAGGATGGAGACTCGGAGACTTCTCTAAAAACAATTAGCAGTAATAAAATTATTATGCATAATATTTAATACCATATACCACTTGACATTTTACAGTTCTTTGCACGCACACAGATTGTTCTGTAGAATATCCCGATGAAGAGAGCATGTCCTATTATCACAAATGAGAAATCTGCAACAAACCTTCATATCCAGTGAAACCTCACTGAATCCGAGCATTTGCTCAGTACAAACAGCAGAAGCCACTGCTAGAAATACAGTTTAGGAATGCTTTTCTCAGCCAGCCTGGCTGGTTACAAACTACTCCTGCATAATGCCTAAGTGGTTTTGGAAACACTAGCCCTGCACATCATGTGTGTTTATAGTGCATATTTAATAACATTGCTACAAATACATATTAATGCAAATAATAACAGACTGGTTCTGAGAGCAATACAGGAGCAGAGCACCCTCTGGGATTGTTCTTGACTACGGGAACTTGCTTAACTGAGATGGCAATGCCAGCTTTCCCCTCACACTCACTCTCTGCACTCCCTGAGGTTGCCTACTTTCTCATCCACCTTCTGTCTGCAGCTTCCTGACTTCCCAACAGCTCAAGAAGTTCAACTCAAACAGACGTGGCAAAAACCAAAGGAGACTGAGGGTCACACATGGAAACAAAGCAAATGTTAATGCATTTCCCAGACTGATGATGAAAGGACTTGCAGTTACAAAAGCCAGCTCACACTCCCTACAAAATGCAGCACCTTCTCTAAACCTTAGACCCTCTTGGGTGCTTTGCTCCTACGTTATCACTAGCATAGCAGGACTGCTATTCTTCTAAGTGCACATTTTCCACAGAAACCCACAATTTTATTCCAGTTCTCCTGTAGAGATCCATTCTGGCTTGTATCCTTGTGCGTATGAATGAAGTCACACTACAATTCATTACACATACTGCAGATCCCCCCACACACCTTACCTTCCCATTCCCACATGAAGCAAGCCTTTGCGAGACTATGGCTACCACAAAGGCACAAACCTCAGTGCACGTGGCTTGTGGCTCCTGGCTCCCATGGATCTCACAGATCTCCAAGAGGGGCTGGCAGGCTTTCTGTCTGAGATCCTTTACTGGAGATTCCACCAGAGCCTGCAGATGATCAGACTCATGCACTTACTTATCATGCATTTTAACTTAGTTGAAACGCTAACACTTTCTACAGCAAGTTCTGCTTTGGAGTCCAAACCCTCAGATGTGCAAAGAGCTAGGTACATCCAAGATAGAAAGTTGCTTCCCCATCACAAAGCCAGGTGCAGGTGCTCACGGAGCAGCAATAATGCAGGGGACAAAGACTGTTTTTCCTCCCCCCAGTAAAACTGTATCTTCCACAGACAAACAAGGAAGACCATCAACTACGAGCATACATTATGTTATGTCCAGCCCTGTATTTCTGCATGACTGGAGTTGTCTTCTGTATTGCTGCACTCAGCATATGGCTTATGAAATATTTCTGCAATGATAACAGGGCATTTGTGAAAATGCTGTTCAGCCCAAAGCACAGCAGACCATGCAACAGTGAGTACCCGACTGAAGGCAATACGTCATGCTGAAGATCTGCAAGAACGATGTTTTCAGCATACCACTTACACTAAGCCATCTTCCTGAGGACCCCAGTCAACCCCCTTGTACACAATAAATTTTTTTCTGGCTTGAAGCAGCATATGTTTGCAAGAACAATGCTGTAGCATCTAATGCCACATACCAGGCAGGCTGGGAAAGTAGAGTCTTTCTCTTGCTGCCCCTGAGGCCATGAGGTAGAAGGGCTATAGAGAAGCAAACACTAGGCATCACTCTCTTCACATTTACACACATATCCGAATATCATTCCCAGATGTATTTCAGTTACACGAAATCAAATCTTGACGTCTTTAACAAGTGTCAGATACATCAACTATTCGCCCATTTGGATGACCCAGACGCTCGTTCGTTACATGAGCTGCAAAAGACAATCCACTCCGAAGTTATTCATGCAGTGGTATGATTTGTCTTTAGTGGAGTCATGAAACTGGATGCAATTCAAAAAGGGCTTCACTCTGCAAATAACGTATAAAGAAATATGTTATGACATTTAGGAAACAGGGAGACTCAAAAACACTTGCTTCATTGGACGAATCACCTGCATTACTGAAAAAGACTTAAAATATTAGGCTAATAGTTGAAGAGTTCATTTCCAAGGAAAGAAACAGCAACCAGCTTTTCACCATTTTTGGATGGAGCAGTTTGCTGAGGTTTATGTCTCCACTACAATATTAACAGCACAGCACACAATATTACCATAAAATAGCAAGTCTACGAACACAAATGAAAAAGAGGAGAGGATCACTAAACCTCAGCTGCAAATTCTGAGTGTGCCATGAACAAAACCAAATTTGCATTTTACCAATGCTTCTTTTCTTTATTTCACCACGACATAATTGCATGTTTGAAACACTACAAATGTGGAATAAAACTACCAATTCTCCTCCTTAAAATAAAAGGTTAAGCTTGTAATTATACGACTTTGACATATCATTTTGTGCAATTACTAATTAACTACGATCCCTGATCAGAGAGTGCAGAAGTAGCGATTTTCTTCCTCAAGAGCCGCGCCTGATTCGATTTAAGTCAAGTTCGGCTACGGAGGGAGGAAAAAAAACCCGCGGGCACGCAAGCATGCGCCCGGGGGGCACCAAATGGAAGAAAAGCTTCTTTGGAGAAAACCATCCCGCAACGCGGATTTCGCCACGCCTGGCTGTGCCGCCCAGGACGGGGGGCCCCGCAACGTCCCCTCCCCGCTGCGGGGCGCGGACGGCGGCATCGGCGTTTGGGGGAAGCAGGCGAAACAAAGCCGCCGCCGCCGCCCCCCAGCCCGC